CCTCCATGAACACGACTCCGACCTCTGTGCTGGCCCTGTCGCAGGCAGAGGAGCGCTCGAGCTGGTCGGGCAGCCAGCAGACAGTGGTGGAGAAGGAGACAGATGCCAGACTCTGCGCGCAGGGACCCTACCTCCGCCCCGCTGCCTGGCTGAAGCCACAAGGAACCCCAAGGCAAGCAAACACGCCGGCCCCGTGCAGCGCCGAGGTCCGGCACCTGGGTGTGGAGCCACTGGTGCGGGCATCACGGGCTAATCTGGTGGGCACAAGCTGGGGGTCAGAGGATAGCCTTTCAGTGGCCAGCGACCCCTACGGCAGTGCCTTCAGCCTGTACCGAGGACGGGCGCTCTCGCTCCATGTGTAAGTAGCCCGGGGAAGCGTGCGGAGGGGACATCATGCTGGGGCCACCTCCTTCCAAACTCCACAGCCATCTCCTCCTCTCTGCCTGGGCTTTCTTTGCCTTCACCATGCCTGGATGAGGAATGGGGGCTCTGAGCAGTAGGCAGCCTATTCCTGGTGAGGAGGTGGGAGCAACCGGGGAGGGAGGGGAATGACATGAGGGTTGCATGGGGCGCAGATGGCATGGAGTGCAGTCCCTCTCTGCCTGGCCAGGTTGGGGCTGGGGATAACCCGTGTGCTGCTGTGCAAGCTGCATCATCCCACCCACAGGCTGTGCAGTGGGTGTCCCCCATCCCTCCTAGCTGTGGGGCCTCTGTGCAGCCCAGGGCGAGGGGACCTAGGAGTGCGTAACAACTGGGGACACCCACTGGTGACTGCCACCTGCAGTCCCCACTGCACAGGGGTGGCAGTAGGGGCCAGAGACATGCTACTTCTCCATGACCTGCTGATGTGCTCAGAGCCCCTGTCCCTCCCTGCCACCTTCAGTCCCCATTCCTGCAGGCCTGCTCCTTCGTCCTCCATCCTGCCCCTTTTTTCGTTTGAAGCTGCTTGTTCCACCAGAACCTCATCTCCACCTTACGATTTCTGCACTGTCATCACCAAGCCTACCTGGGGGCAAGGAGTGGGGGGATGCGGCCACAGCAGCATGTGCATGGGGAGGGCTTCTAGCCTCAGGAACCCCCTCCACCTTGCAGAAGAGCTGGCCTGTGCCACACTGTCTCAGCACGCCAGGACACCTTGGGAAACTGGGCCACCCTCCTGGCCCCAGGTCCTGTCTGTGTAGCAGCCCTGGGGAGGGGACTTGCTGGGTATCCCAGCATCACATGGGTACCTGTCCCACATGGGTACCCCTGGGCAAGGGGATGTCACAGCAGCCCAGGACTCTTACACAACCCAGCCAGCTGGTGGTCTACAGGGTGGCCAGATGCCCTTGCTGGGGTCCCTCAAGGCTTCCTGTTCCTGGGGCTGCCTTGCCATGCCCCATTGGGCACCATGCTGCAGGCTGAGAGTGGGGCTGCAGCCAGGTGGTGAGGGTGGGCTCTGAACCATGATCCTCTGTGTCTTCCCTTGCAGCAGCATCCCCCAAGGGGGTTACCGAAGAGATGACCCCCACAGCGGCTCTGTCTCTCCAAAGCCTGGCGCCGAAGCCCCGTGGTCACCCGCTGCCCCGCCACTGACTGCCAAGCCACCCCTCATCCGCTCGCCATCTCCCCCCCTCCCACCCCCCACCAGCGCCACATCCCAGCCTGCTGCCCGTGGCCCTGGCATCCCCTCCTCCACACCCGTCACACCCCGCAAGAAGTCCTCGGTGCCAGTCGAATACCAGGACACTGTCCCTGAGGAGTACGAGGAGAAGATCAAGAAGCCCAAGTCCTCGGGGTACTCGCAGGGCAGCACACAAGAGTCCCGTCCCCAGACACCCATGAGCGACACCTCTGGCCGCATCTCTGTCCGGGC